ACAGAGGAATCTATTCTGAACCCTATATTTATCTGCCAAATGTCAGGCACTGCGTGAGGAGACCAAAGACCAAACATATATTAATATAGAAAGAACCAACATGTTTACAAATAAGTGATACAATTTATCACATAACGATTTCCAGAATGGCATCGGATAATACCAAGGACACAAAACAGTATATTTACAATCAAATCAATATGAGGATGGAAATCAATAAAAAGCATATTATAAATTAACCCTAAGTCTTTTAATTAGTATACACAGTCCCGTGGCAATACATATAGACAACAATCGTACTCCAAAAACTCAAGTACCTATCTGGTTAATTGACAATTTATTAAATATATATAGATCTTTTTTAAGAATAAGATAATTGTTGAATTTCAAAATAATGTAGAACATCTTTACGATATCAGCAAAAAAATGTACCAGATTTTAACATCAGCCGTTTTATCAAACGGCATTATAAATCTCAGAGCTACGTCCAATATAATGAGACTACTATATCTTCAATAGTTGAATAAATATGAGCTTTTCTATTTTTTTTTTATATTTACGTTTCAAGCCGATTGAAGAAAAAGTAGTCGGACAGAGACAAGAAATGGAGAGCATAGTAAAATCACATAGTAAGATCTACGATAACATCCAAAGATTTATGTAATAATGGAAGAATTAATTGTAAAACACATGGTGAGAAAATAAGTAATTTATATTAGAGTCAAAGTTTTTTGATAAAAATAGAAAAAAAATGTTGAGTCACCTAATAACCGAAAATATGTCCATTATATTCCAGAACTAAGCTATTAGTTAAGTGAATTTCACTCTGTGTTTGCTAAATTAAAGTCACTATTTAATCATTAAATTATAAACAATAATAGGCATAAATAGCATAAAATTAAGAAAACTAACTTGATAAAATTCAGTGCGAAACATCTTCAATCTGTGTGGACAAATACGACAGGACTATAACAGACGTAGGTACGTATTAATATAAATTCGATGAAAAACTCGGTTCTATTTTCACTATTTGTTATTACTCCTTAACAGAAAATACTTTAGTATTTAGTAACACTTAGGATTTAATACAGCTGATGTTATTTAAACAAGCAAGCGTACATTTTAAATTATAATTTGTAAACCTATGACTATTATGCAACCTATAATCAGTGTTTTGAATTATCTAGATAAGATTTTTTGAAACATATTATCTTTTAAAGTATCTAGATAAATATGTTACCATTTATCGTAATATTATAGTGCCCCTACAAAACTATAAAACCAATGTTACTAAAATCCTAATATTATATAAATTATTTATAAAATTAGAAGAATATATTCCTTGTTATTATTGTCAACGGCGGTATTACGATAATACGAGAACCTGCGTCGTGGGGGCATGCACTATACATCGTTCTCTATTATTTTTTTTATAGCCATAATGAGAATATTACAATTTATTAGGTAAAGGTTTATTTCCCCATCCATTTTAAAAATAAATTAAAATTTACCTCGTAGAACTGTATTTCAGACTCGATCCGTTGTTATTATAAATATTATGTCATTATATTGATATATAAACCTAATATTACAAAAATACTAAAAAACAATAAAAATAAGCTTAAAAAAATTATATTTATCTAGATAAATGTATTGTTGTATTTATCTTTATCTAGATAAATTACATTTATGTTATCTTTATATTTATCTAGATAATATTTTGTTAAAATTATCTTATCTTATCTAGATAATTTTTTAGTTATTTATTTCCTACACTGCCTATAATCTAGGTATATACCTTCAAGAAACTTTTTCTTTAAGAAAAGCCAACCAGCTTAAAATAAAACATCTATTTGCAGTTTATTATAATTTATAACTACTTATATTGTACTTTTATGTGCTTTGTAAAAAATTACATTTGTGTGCGAATAAAAAATGTTTATCATTCATAGACGTGAAAAATTTATAATTTATAAAATATAAGCACAGTGGAAAATAATATGTTAAAACTACAATTTTTAAGTATACTGTAAACACATTACACATGCCATACATAGGTACACATATTTTAATATTTCTGCCCTTTAAAAAAAGTCAAAATCAAGTTTTATATATTTTATTGTAGAAATTTACGACGTTAAATTACTTCAAAACATACCCAATTAAAATAAAAAATAAGCGGTGGTATATTATAATACTTACCTAAGTTATATTAAGAATTAGCATTATTTTCCCATAATGCAAGCTTACAAACATGAATTATTGCCGTGTATAAATTAAAAGAAAAAATAACACCTAATCTTCATATTTTAGTATATTTAAAAATGAATTTAAAACTTTTTATGCATTTAACTACCTATTTTATTATAAATCATGACTTGACCAGACATCGATTTTACGAAAACGGAAGAAAGAGACTAGGTAATTTATATTACACATATTTAATCATCATAAAAAAAAAATTTTTAACTAAAGGTATCTATAAATACCTATCTGAATTCCATAAAGGTTTTTCCAAAGATATTTTATACGATTTACAAGTAATTTATAATATTAATTATAATCACAGTTATAATCGCTAGCCATATAGTGTTTACAATGCAGTGATTACTTAATACTTATATATAAGTATAACATTAGTGTACCTAACCTATATTATTTATAAGCCATCATTGTTTTCTATTTGACATTGGGATATTTAATTTTTGTTTTAAAATCTTGTGTCAAATCAGTGTACAAATTTACAATATTATTAATTAAATAAATACATAAAATTATTTAAGCCGAGTGGCTTAGTTCAATTAAATTAGTATACAGTTTTCTTATTTGGTTTTACATTAATTTGTTTTATGTTTTTCTCAACAAACCACTTGCTTCGGAAAACGAAGGTTCAATACACTATTTATTTCTTATTTTGTCCGTAATTTCAAAGAACATGAGAGCAGTGACCACTACGGCTCAAAGCCATGTTTCGTAAGTCAGAAACTTGCAAACCATTTTTGTGAATACCTACCTATTATTGTTGTTATAAAAAACTTAGTTTTAGAATATTATTCATGGTTCAGTAACAATAATTCCCGAACAATATTATTATAACCAAACAAATCGCAAATAGGCCGTAATGAATAAGATTCAATCTGGTTTACAATTGATTGCTACTCAATATGTATCTATATAAAATGTCCAATACGAATGTTACCTATAACCCATTTATTAAATTGTATAGAGCACTCTAATTTCATTATTATTTGAAATTGTAATAAAATATTTTTTTTTTTTTTAGATTGATATAGTTTTGTAAATGTTGTTTTTTGAATTTCCAATACAATGTATTACTTTGTTCGAAATCATGTAAATTGTATGATTCTTATCAGTAGGATAAAAAAAAATCTGTACAAAACATTTTAAAATCAAAATTTGAAAAATATTAACAGATGGGCTTGAGTGTATGCTGTATACAATATACATATTATCGCAATCTTTATTATATAAAAGTGTATATACATGTGCAATGTGCATGTCATGTACTCATGTACCCATTGTACCCCAATCGGCCACATCTTAATATAAAACCATAACCTCTAAGCATCGATCGTTTTTGAAATTTCAAACAACAATCTTTTCTTACAAATATACATAGCTGAAATATTACATAAAACAATATTTATTTTAACTTTTAATATTTATAAAAAAAATGGTGCATATAAATTTTAATATTTTTAAACTGATATTGTAACAACTTATAATTAAGCTTGTTTTAAACTATAAAATAAAAACAAAACATTTTTATAAATAACTCAAAAAAGTCAAAATATTTCGGAAAAATGTATAACATGTATAGAAAATGACAAAATAAACATTTTATGAAAAATTCAAGTATCTGCAGTAATTAATATTTGAATTACAACAAAATAAGAAAATCGTTCGTTGAGAAATCCATAGTTGATTGGTGAATATCCATTATCGTAAAAATTTGAGCTTAAAAAGCTCATAAAAATTAAATTTGAGTATACTGTAATTGTTTTTAACGGTATAAAAACTTATGATAAAGCTTATATTTAATTTTCAATTATTTTAACCATTTAAAAACTATTTTTCGACCATAATTAAAAAAATTTAAAAATCAAAAATTATTCATGGGCCATGGCTATATAAGAATCAAAAAGAATCAACATTTCATACGAAAAATAGTAATATTCTCATATAAACATTTGGTGTGAATTTAAAGTATCTACGGTCATTTGTTTTTGAGTTACACCAAAAAAACTAAATCTATTTTGTCAAAAACCCGTTTTGCTCAAATATACCTGTTTTTCCTTAATTTTTTTTTCTGTTTTTCCTAACGTTTTTAAATACTATTTGAAATTTTTCAAATAAAATCCCAAGTACCAACTTGCTTCACCTTTCTACCGGAAAGGATGGTGAAGTAGAAAATAAAATTATTTTAACTGCCCAAAAAGGTGATATCAGACACAAAAAAAACATTGTAAAATCAATACTGTCATCGCTCCTCTCAGAATCTAAAACAAAATTATTAAATACATACAAATGTGATATGAAATAAAAAATAAGTAGCCACTCGTACGAACAACATAGAAAAAATAATAGCTAAGTTTAAAAATCACAACACATAATTTGTACCTATAACATAAAATAAGTTATAGAAATAATATAAACTAAACTTATGATTTATAATCAAATTTAAAATGTATAAAAAAACTCTGGATGAAAAAACAGAATGTTCGTCATTTAATTTCATTAGTTTAACTAAACTAAATGGGTTATTGAACAAAACTATTTCTCTTGATAGCGATAGGTAGTTGCTTTAAAATTCAAAAAATGGGACAGCATACCTTTTATACTTATATCTTGCTTTTCGATCTGTGAGGTTTTATTGTTAGATGCAAGTACACCCCTTCTTGGTGGGGGGCGAGTATACTGTATATAGTACATATTATCGTATGATTCAAAATCGTTTTATAAGTGTTGCATAATTATAGGGCATATTGGGTTCTGGGTTCGCATTAAAAGTGCAGCAAAAACAACGGCAGAAGCATTTCAACCGGCAAATACCTGCGGCCGCGATGCTGATACAATGCCTGTGGAGGTGCTACGCGGCGGATAAATGTTTCAACAGCCAAGCCACTTGGGACATTTACATCAAGGAACCGGGACACCCGAAAGATAACTCGTCGTTGAGTAAAGTTAGTCACTTACACCCAAATACTGAGGTACAAAAGTATAAATAATAATACGTTGTGTTTCCATGTCGTGTTGCGTGTATAGTCTTTGATCATGCAAGTAGCGAAGCGCGCCAGCGTCTTGAAGCGGAAGAGATCAAAAAGCAAAATGGACACACCCGGTGCGACGAATAATAATAGGGATTGCCCGCAAGCTCAAACTTTACCCCCACCGCCCAGAAGGGACAGTGACGGCGAAGTCGTTTTCTACATAGAAGAACCCAAAGCGAGTAAGTATTCACACACATATTATTATTATTATAACTATTGTTATTGCACCTAAGCGTTCGCTGTGCTCACCAATCAATTTGTGCGGGTTATTACGATGTTGTGAATTGGAGTGATTTTAAATTGGAACCAAGAGCGTCCACGGAGGGGGGGAGAAGGGGAAATTTCACCCAATGGATTTTTTTATGGGTCAATTATCATAATTATTAAGTAGTATAAAAAATCACAAAATAAATATTTTTTAAATAAAAAATATTCTTAATTTTTATGTTGTTTTACCCGGCACTTGTGAAAACTATTAGGAATTTTAAAATTTGACCTCCCGAATGCACCAATTAGATTCACTTTCCCATCGAACAAGATACTGTTGAAGAAAATCGAATCAGTTTTACTGCCCCAAACCGTGATGACAGACACAAAAAAAAATACACATCATTGTAAAATCAATACATTAATTTCACTCAGAATCTAAAACATTTATGTGTTAGGTAATGGAATTATTTATATTCAGACTTGTAAAGTATTCGAATAAAAGTATTTGAATACTTTTATTGTACTCGAATACTTTTATTGTACTCGAATACTATTTTAAATACTTTTTTTTTTAAATATTCAAATACGTATTTTGAATGCCTACTTTTATTTGTATTTTTTATTCATTAAAAAAATACTTTTTTCCGATCCAGAAAAACAGTTTTAAATTTGTGACAAGACATATTATTATAAATCATGAACATTCATTTTATTCTTAAACTATAATATTGGCCCATGATATGATTATTTTTATAAACACCAATGTGTTGTATCCCATATGGCCCGTATCGGCCTTATCATATAATATTATGTGGTCAAAATGTATAAATAACTTATGATTACGATGTATTTTTAATTATTAATTAACAATTGTTAATTACCAACCATTCAAAAATTGACAAAAAATAGTTATGAAAAAAGTATTCTAATAGTATTCAAATATGTATTCTGAATATATTTTTTAAGAACTATTCGAATACTTATTCTGAATACCTTAATTCTCATTTATTCGAATATGAATTCTGAATACAAAATAAAAGTATTGTTTACAAGACTGTTTATATCACACTCGATTATGAAGGTCACAACTAAGAACATTGCTTTAATAGATTTATGGAATATAGTGGTGGGGCTAACACTAAGTCTAGTGTGAAGTGTCAACCAAGTTTTTAATTTTTTTTATAAATACCTACATTAAATGTTCATAGATTGCATACAAGAAACATTTCATTCTATAAAATATAATCTAAAATTATCAAATCAATATGGTAACATCTTATTTATTAAAAAAAATATGTTAATTTAAAATTCCATATCATTTAAGTAAAGCTATTATATGCTGTAAGATAATGTAATAACTATTTTTTTTTTCAATCCGAAGATTGGTTTTATCAAATGCAATCACAACAATTAACCTCTCCATTTTTACCTGTCATTCGCCATATATTTTATCTCCCTGTAGGAGGTTAGGTTAGGTTAGGTCATTTTTACTATTAGGCTTATTTATTTTATTCTTGGTCTTCATCTTGGTCGTGTTAATTCTATCATTCCTTCAATTATTAGACTATGTAATTTGCTTCCATTTAACTAACTACAGTCTACAAATACTTAATTTATAAATCATTTTTCATTCCCTACCTGTATGAAAAAAAATATGTCACTAACAATAATTTATCTATTTAACTATGAATATTGTAATGTTAAGAAATATATAATTTGTGACATAATATTAACATGGTATTTCACGACCTTTAATTTTTAATCTATTTCGGATATCTTACCGTCAATAATTATTCAAATTTCAGATACATTTTCCAAAATTATGTCAGTACAATATTCAAAATTATTTTATAATAATCGTTAATACTTAATGTATTGACCTAAATTGTATAACATATATTATATATTACATACATTTTCACTGAAATTAATATTAATTATTTGAATGGAATAATATGAGAACATTTACATTTTTCCAAGTAGGTATATGGAAGAGGAACATATTTTTATGAGTCAATTTTGAATTTAAATTTAAAAATAAATAATAATAATTTTTAAATTCATCAATAAAAAACTTAACATTAAGTATACATTATAAAATGGATAAGTAGGTACCTACACACAACAATTTTACATTCCTTTTTATTATATTAATTGCATGATTTATTTAAATTTACCTCATTCTCATTATAATAATATATTCTCCCAATATTTGTATTATAATTATTGTTATAATCGTTATCATTTGTGTGTTTTCCGTCATGTTTAGCCACTCCAAATCGCGTTAGAAGAGAAGCTAGAGGATATGTCAGCCAGACGAGTTCCGTGACGGAAGCTGCAAGCGACGAAGTCGACTTGGAAATGGAACCAGAGCGAGTGACTACGTGAGTTAGACATTTTAATCTATGATATTATGTGCCATCAAAAGAACCTAAATTATTTTCGAGTATGATATTATAAAAATATAATTATTACAATGCGATAATGAGTAACTAAGTGTAGGTCCTATGACTTATGTCCGACGGTTTAGCTTAATGAAAAACTTCAAAAACGGATAATAAGTTCATTTAGTTTTTCATTTAAAAGTATTTATTTAATGAAACTATTTAACGGTTTTACAGATTAGTAAAAAGTACAAATTTAAATTACTTTATAATTATTTTTTGTTATCTCAAAGTTATTAAATCGAAACATAGAACCTTTGTGTATAGTTAAAACAAATTCAAATATGTTTTAAATTAATATTTGTTATATAGGTTAACCGACGTACACAAAAATGCTATTCGAGCCATTAGAAAGATCAAATATTTTGTAGCCAGAAGAAAATTTCAACAAGCTAGAAAACCATACGATGTACGTGATGTTATCGAACAATACAGTCAAGGTCATTTAAATATGATGGTTCGAATAAAGGTAAAAAAAATTGCAGTGTTTCAAAAATCTTAATAAAATATATAAGAAATTATATATTCCAAAAGGTTATGTTAATAGTTAATACATATACGACAAATGACAATACATATTATATAAATAATAGTACATTAAAAATTTGATTTACCCATTTCATAATACTAAATAATATTATAATTTTTAGTTAATTTTTTCTTTAACAGCACTTCCATCTCAAGCAAGCACTTGTTACATTGTTAATGCAAAAAACAAAATTTTAATAGCTTTTAACAAAACTAAGTTTTAGATGTTCCGGAGCATATTTATATAGTTTTTAACTATACACCAAAGTCCAAACAAAAATTATAATTAATTACATTTGTTAAGTGTTGTTAATAGGTACTGGTACACTCATACTTATATGGCATTGGTATAATATAAGCAATTAGCAAAATATATAATATAGTATATCATAGATACAATGTGGTATTTTATTTTTTCGACAAGTGGGTCAAATAATAAATAAATAAATAAAGTAAACTACTTTTTATAATCCCATCAACACTCAACTAATGAACTAAATAATATAAAGCAAAACCAATAACAAAACCTACTGACCATGTATTCTATATAATTTTATTATCCCTTTTAAAACGCTGAAATATTATGAATCACTTTGAAATGGGTAATTTTTTCTATTCGTCGGTTTTTAACAATTTATAGTTTAATTTATAATATCAAATAGATTAAGGTAAATTTAAAATTTAACTGTTTTCCTAATGTAATAGTTAAATATGTATTAATTTGTCCACATTTAAAAGTTTAAAACATTAATGGGTGCGTTACGATTGCGTATGATACGATTCCGTATGGACCTTTTTCATTATTCCGATTGCGTACATTCTACCTACCAATACTTAGTCCAACGGTGCCGTTGTTCAAAATCGTGAAAATTTGTAATATAACTTATTTTAGGAAACGATTGCTTATATTTGATACAATTTCATAAACGTTACCGAGACTATTATTTCCAGGCCAATAGGTACTTTTTGGTAATCTATAAAATACTATGAGATAAGATTAAATGCCGATCATTATATTGGATTTCCTGGCGCGTGTCACACTTTAACATCGTTGTACTAGTATGCGACCAACTTGTCATTCAATAAGTCACTGGTTTTAGTTTTAGTATTAGTAAGTAATAGTGCAGTAACTATGGAGAATTCTTTAAAAATTATAAAAAAAGCTATTCCATCTAAAGATATGCAAAAAATTAACCATGTTATAAAACTATACGACCAATTTAAAATAGATGTTAATATATTAAATTTTTTATCAGGGACTGGTTATCGATACCAAGGTTTTGATTTATAACTTATAATTTGTATTTTGTATAATTTAAGTTTTTAGTTGACTATAAAAATGTTTTTTTATGAGGAACTGGTTATCGATACCAACGTTTTAATTTATAGCTTATGAGTATTATTTTTGTATTTTATATACCCAAATATTTTATATTGTTTTTAATTGACTATAATATTATAATAATGATTTTTTTTAATTATATCATTATTATTTAATAATAATTTAATTTAATTTAATTTAATTTAATAGTACATGTTGGCAACGTTGCACTCATTTTCATACGCAATCGTAATGTTTTTAAGGATTTGCCTAAAAAATAACCCCGGAAAAAATAACCCTGAAAAAAAGAACCCCGAAAAAATAACCCCACGAAAAAATAACCACGGAAAAAATAAACCTATAATAAAAATTTATTATTTATTTATTTATTTAATTTTTTATTTATTCGAAGTATTGTTACACATCACGCGTAGGTTTCGTCAAAATATTTAAATAACTCCTCGGAGGAATAATTAATTTTAAATATTCAACACCTTCTTGTAACCTATTTAGTGGTAAAAAATCCAAGCCATCTAACATAGGTAGGTACCACAGAATTCATTAAAATCATAATCTTCTTGGTATTTTTTTTTTTAATCCTAATTCTGCCAATTTTCTATGAGTACTCTGGCATAGGTGATAGAAACATCCGTTTATTATTAAATGTTCACCTAATACATTTTTTGATGCATTTATTAATGCCTTTTCGAAGTCTATTTTTATATTTTGTGGATCTGGAAAAAGATCGTTCTTTTCGCAGACTGATAAAATAGCTTTGAATATTATTTCGTAAATAGATTGATTTTTTTTTTCAAGTAAACAGTATAAAACAGTAAAAAATGCACTATATTTTTCAATTCGTATGATGTAGAGTTCTGATGTAGAGCTCTGAATTGTTTTTATCGTGGGTATATACTATATACAATAATTTATCATTGAATCCAAAATTAATATTGTACACGTAGGTAATAGCCAATAGGTATGTTATACATTTTGTATTGATTTGAGATTAATTTGCAAAATCTCATATTATGGCAATTTGGCCTATGGGGTTATTTTGTCGGTGGTTATTTTTTCGCGGGGTTATTTTTTCGGGGTTCTTTTTTCGGGGTCTAAATTTCCGGGGTTATTTTTTCGCGGTACCGTTTTTAAGACCTAGGTAGAGAATTCGTACGCAATCGTTTTACTAAAAGGGACAATCGTACGCTATCGTATATTACCGACATTAATTATCAAAACTAATGGTTTTATTGGTTCCTAAAAAAACGACCATTTATAATTTATATGTGCACATTCCTCGTGAACATTGGTCTCATTAATAAAGATCGTTTTTTTTTTTTCAGGAATTGCAAAGAAGGTTAGATCAAACTCTCGGAAAGCCAGGAAGCTACCTGGCAGGAATTGACCGATCAGGCAATGTTAAGCCTATGACAATTGGTGCTCGTTTGTATAGGCTAGAACAGCAGGTAAAATTGAATTATCTAAACAATAAAAATTATAGAAAATATATTATTTGTTTGGCCATATCCACTATTTACAAAATGTCATATTTCAGTTAGGGGGTGGGAGTCCTTCCCAACACCACACGAGTGTTATTCATAATTTGATTATTTTTAGATTGATTAGATATTCAGTACATTTTCCATCCCTGTTTTATGTTTTAGCTATCCATTATGGACAAGAAGCTGGATCAGTTGGTGTACCTTTTAAACGTCCAGACGCACAGACAACAGTTTCCGGCCTTAGAAGAACAAGTTTAAACGTTTTAAAAGAATATCAAAACGTCTCATTTTCACAGATCACCCGACCAATGTTATTATTTTATTAAGGAACAAAATAAACTTCTTACAGTCACGCAAAATTAATATACACACATATCCGTTTGACTAAAAAAAGCTTTATCTGGTAATTTTATCCTTTCGATGACGTGGTCATTGTTGAATGACAAAAACTGTAATAATAAATACAAATAATAATAATAACGATAATAATACTATTTAGACGAAAATAAATATTTTTATGAGAACCCTTGTCTGAAGCATTCTTATGACGGAACCTAATTTTAGGCTAATGCACAATAAAATTTAATATAATATATTATAATTAAATATAATTATCGTTAAATAAATCTAAAACACTATTTTTCTATGTCTATTTAATACAAAAATCGTACTTGAATTAATATTATAAATATATTTAATTATTCTAACAATTATAAATTGTTAAAATATGCTTTGTCAGTAATTTAGTGTAAATCACTTAAATCAATATCTCTTGTAAACACTTAAATATAAAATTAATTTTAGTTGTTAGTTTTTTTTTATATAACGACTGGTGATTCCTTTAGGCTTAATTAATTCGAATTTTATACATTCTTAGGGTTACATGGATATTAATATGTTGTAGTTGGTAAAAACAAATTGAGCTTATAGGTGTTAGGTATAGTTTTAATAAAATAATCTGTTATTTATTGAAATTATATTTATTTATGTGGCAGAGCGTAAACATTCTTCAAACGTTTATTTGATAGTAATTCAAAAAAGCAATAATTAAAAACATTTACTCGGTGTTCAAACGAAGAATAATAATAACGACAAATCCAAACCTTTAATATAATCAACATCTACCCAGTTTATTTTTATTTTACATTTCGAAATCGATAAGTTTCAAAAACTTCTTTATTTATATGAAATATATTTTCTTATTTTAATCTGTAAACCGTATCCCTGAAAGTTTCCCGGCTCGCACAGTGACCAAAATTAGTTTGAAAATTAAACAATCAAGTATAAGACTAAAATTAAAACATATTATTTTTCATAATAGAATACTTTTTTTTTCATTTTCTTTTTTTATTGGGACCAATAACCTCCAATAACAAGGATAATTTTAAAACGTTATATCAAAAAATTCTAAAAAAAAATATGTATAGGTAAAAATTATTATAATAAAAGTTAAAATTGAGTGTACCGTATTGTTATGTATTCGAAAAAATATGTTCTCATTTCATTCGAACACCAATAATGTCATATAGTTTTAATCAACTATTATATTAGATTGAATATCATACAAATTACAAGTTAAAGAAAAATAGATTTTTAATCTAAAAAATAAAAATAATATTTAAAACTTTATATAGCTTAATCTGTCAAGGCTAACAAATAAGAAGCTGACTACTTGACATTTTTTTAACAATTACTAAATTCTAAATAAAATCTTCATGTGTATAGGTACTTTACAGTGTTTTCAACATTATCATTTACAAATGAAAACAACCCGCTTACGTTCAATTACGAATCGGAAATAAATAAAATATTTAATTTAATTTACTGTTCTATTGCTCCCTATTAGTTTTGTGTACCCTGAAACAAGACAATAGGTGATTTATAAGTGATAACTATTATTATTTAAGTAACTGTTTTTTTTCATTTTATATTTAATAATACGTTTAGTACCTATATACTTAGTTGTTTCTGATATTTTTACCTAAATGAATATTTTTCCAGAGTATCCCAAAAAGAGTTCTTAAATTGTCTTTATTCAGTGGTATAATATAGCCAATATAAGTATAGTGCAATAGATACCAAAATATATTTACAAATAAGTTTATAGTCGTTATTGGAGTCATTTCACAGTCTGCACATTGAGTTTTAAGCTGAGTACCTACAGGAAAAAAGTTTATATGAACACGATTACATTTCGCGTTTTTCAAGTTATATGTTTATCTTTTTTTTCTAAAAATATTTTCTTTGTGGAATAAATATGAAAAAAATCCATTCATTTTTTGTTTTAAAATTTTCAAAACATCCTTCTGAATAGTGGATATTTGATTTGTTATGAATTGACCAATGCATAATATTGGAAAAACATTTTGTAAAGCAATCTCCAATCTTGGGTCTAAATAAGTGCCTTTTAAACACAGTTAGTAATAAATAATAATATTATTAGCTTAACCTGATAATGTGATTATAATAATAATTTTTTTCGACGTATATCTTCTAAACTATATATTTATAAAATGTTCGTTTAATCAATACGACAAAAATAAATCATTTTATTTAAACACGAGTATTACAACTATACCTTTATGTAGTAACTATTTCTACCACATCGTGAATGTACCTACTTTTTATTTCTTTCTATAAAAACGATAATCCATATTATGAGGATCAGTTCGTATATTACATAGATTGAGGTAGTAGGAATATAATATAGATAGTTATGTTTAGATAACAATTTCAATTGTATTGACGAATTTTCTCATTTACAGGTACTAGACTTATAAAAATAATAAAACAAAAATAAAAAATGGAAAAATGGAAAAAAATTAAATAATAACTATCATTGTAAGTTTTTAGATCGGTGGGGTCATTTTACACATCGATTCGTTATAAATACAACAGAAATTTTCTTTTTTTATGATATTTTACTTTATTAGGCGCATTTGATTTTTATACGGACACTTTTGGCTATAGACTAGTGCAAACAATGTTTATAATATAGATTCGTCTATCGCGACTGTAATTTATATATTTTATAAATCACAAACGTTGCTACTGTGATCATTAAAGTTTAAATATAATGTTAATAATATTTTAATATAGTGTGCCCTTATTATTATATATATTATATTTAGCATGTTTTTTGTACATTCGACTTCAACAAAAAATATAGAATTGCTTTATTTTTTAAAAAAAACTAAATTTAATAAAAAAAAAAAACAAACGTCGAACTTACACTCTCATTGTTTACTACTTTTGTTGTACATTCATTTTCATTTTCATTTTAGGAACAATTTTCGAGCTTTAGTCAATTTTTTTAATCTTGTTAAATAATTATTATCTATTTATGTATTATGTATAAATGAAAAACAAATTATTATATTTTCCATCTCTGTATTTATGTTTTAATTTTTAGATATTTTAAATAAAGTATAATACAATACATGTTTATAATAATACTATTATAAAATGCATTCCATTACAAACAAGCATTTCAAATCGTATACGTTTATTACTATATAATTTTATTCAAACGATATAATTTGTACATTTATTTACTTTAAACTTTTATTATTAATTAGTTTTTAGTTGTATTATTAAAATACATTATGCATTTTATTATTCTTTATATTAATTAAAATAAAAAATAAAAGCTACAAATATATGTAGGTATTGATTTTTTACCTTATAGGGGTAATAATACCTTATCATTCTTATCCCTTTATCCAAGAGAATAATTATTATTCTGTTATCGTGTTTGATGGGTATACATGTTTGACACTATGCATGTTTATCTCTTATATTTAGAGTCCGGATTTATATTCTGTTAAAACGTTTGAAAGATGATGTTTATATGCAGTTGAAATTTATGAAATATTCCTAAAAATATTCTTAATATTCTCAAAATATTCCTAATATTCTCAAAATATTCTGAAAAATATTGATAATAGTAACTAATAAGCAAAAAATATAAATAATATCTTAAAACTTTTTTATTTGTTATTTAGTTATAACTTATATCAAACATGCAATATGATAAATAATTATGATTATGAATTTATAATTTATTATTATTTATATAATTATTAATTAATAATTACCTATATTATCTTATGTAGTTATGTTACATAGTTATATGTTATATTACATGCAAAACATTAGCATAAAAAAAAATTATACAATGTTTTTAAAGGAATGAACAATAATATATTTTTCTAAATTTTCCGGAATAAAGTTAGTACGGCGGTCCGTGATTATTGTCTTATATACCTACGCTGAATGGTCTCTCAACATCGACAGACGTTGTAGGAGCATTTTTCAGGTCTGTAGCTATACTAGGAGATACATCTTGAGGAAGTGTCACGTTGTTGTCCCCAGTTAAAACTTTTACAATTTGTATCATTAATTTAAATCCTTTATTTTTTTGCTGAAGCTGTAGCATTTTATTTTTTATTTCAGAACCTTTGGTGCCAGGAATACTTTGCATACTTGATATAACATTTTGTACCATTTCAACCGACTCAATTAATGGTAAATTTGATTTTTCTAAATTTTTTATCGTTTGAACAAGAACGAAAAAATGCGATTTTAGAAATATTAAATCATTCTGTACTGAGACCTGGGAAAATATATCTGTACATTTTTCTATGCTTATTGCTGAATCGTTTTCGAGTCTTTCTAACACTTCTTTTAATAATAATTTTATTACTTAGTGTTATTACTTTTAATATTGGAGTTTCGAGACTCGTGGCCTCATGCGGGTATTTCACTTTATCAGTACCTATATAAATATATTTATTTATGACAAACAATATTGATTATAGGAAATTATCGAATCGGTGACTACAAATTAAAAATAAGTTCAAAACTCAAAAAATCAAAATTTTTACTACCAATGTCTTGAGAATCGAAATTTATTGACGTAGAAACTACATTTTCATTTTCGACGCTTTCGATATTTCCTATATTGTTAGTATCAGTTGTCTTTCGCAATTTATTTGTTCTTAATTGGAACAAATCTGTTATTTTACCTGACCTTTTCATCTTCTAGAAATTATAATGGAATTTGTATTAATAATCATAATAAATTATTATATTATATATAATATTATGAAAAAAAAAAATGAGTACAGAATATTAAACTTACGTGGCAATATCGTATTATAAATCATTTGAGTCTTGATGTTGTTCACTGTATAGTTAACTTGGTCGAAATGAATCGTGTTTAATTTTTTCGTGGCTACATGGAACACAATATATCATATCGGAAATTCGGAGATAAAGTACAATAGCCGATGTGTTATCGTACACGCGCTCCGGTCAATCGCGCGTATTTATGGGTATACGGATTTCCTATATACATATATCGATTATATCGCTCACACGACACGAAACAATGAGCGTTAGCGATAGCGATGCAAAGACACCATGTGAACCTAGCCTAATCAAGTTCCACATATTATCTAGACACGCGGTAGCGTGTCAAGCCAAGTTCTAGCTAACAGAACTGGCGAGCAGCACCGTGTGTAATATTACACGAACCATTTGGAGCCACTTTTGACCACCTCATAACTCAAAAACTATTCCACATAAACTTGTCAAATTTGACTCATATATTGAGACTAACGAGATACATATGTGCTCTAAATTTCATAAACACACTTCAAACCGTTATTTAGATATTAACGTCCGAAAATCGTCATTTTTATCACTGACTATAGATCAAAATTCTAACCCAGTTCCAGATGACCTAGAAAGTTCAAATTTGGCATACAGATAGGTAGGTAGTTAGGTAAATACAAAGGAAAAAATCAGAAACTTGAAAATTTTTAATTTTTAATTTTTTAATTTTTAATTTTTAATTTTTTAATCAATTGATTTTATTATAATTTTGCAATTATTTTATCTATTATGTTTAATTTTTCAATTAATTAATGAATTGCCTCTAATTTAATGTAATGTAATGTAATGTTGACTTAAATAACCTTTCCCGTATCGCCGCTCCAAAAATACGACTAGCCTTATGTGTCGATATTGTCGACCCGCGCGCAGCAACATACTTTTTTTCTATCTATGTATATAATTAATATTATTTTTATTTAATATTACAATTAAAATAATTAAATAATTATTCTTAAAAATTATGAATTGTCCACCCAACAGTAGAAACTACAGTCAATAAAATTATGATAATTAAAAATATACTCAAAAAGAGTTAAAATAATTGGATATTAATTTTACATATATTTTATACTCTGTATATACAATAGAAAATATTTTATAATAAATATTATTAATGTTATACGCAGTGTTGTATAGTATTTGAGTAAAAGTAATTGAGTAAAAGTATTCAAATACTTTTTTCGGTATTGAATACTTTTTTAAATACTTTTTATTTTGAAGTATTTGAATGGTATTTTAAATACTTTTTTTTACTATTTAATACTATTTTATTGAATACTTTTATTTAATTTTTTTTATTCTCTAGGAGACAGCTTATTGTCGACGATGATCGAAAAGATACATCTGTAGTCGGTATCACTATTAGCTAAAGTTAACAAAATATATAATATGTAAAAAGCTTCTACTTAACGGCTATTATATTTTATAGTTTATTTAGTTTATAATTATTTAACTATACGAAAATAATGTTAATAATTATTAGTACTTACTGGCTAGTGGCTACCTATTTATCAAGAAAATTTTTATCAATTATTATCATTATTGTTTATCGATGACGGTATGAGATATCCAAATACATAATATAGCTTTAAATTAATATAATAACTCTGTTGAGAAAAGTTCATTGTTGTAGTGCAACTAACATGAATAATCAGAATTTTGATTATTGAACGAATCATGTTTTTAAAATGCAATAAACAAATTTTTTGATTATAACAAATTATTTCAGAACTAAAAAGTAAAAAGAATTTTTTTTTTGTATTTGAAGATTATTTTAAATACTTCTGAAAAGTATTTGAGTATTACTCAAATACTTTACTATTTATAGTATTTGGGTGGTATTTTAAATACTTTATTTTAAGAGTATTTGAGTAATTACTTAAATACTTTTAAAAAGTATTTTTTACAACACTGGTTATACGTTAGTAACTGAATTATAGTATTTAGTAATAAACTTTATTTATAGAATACGTCATGGTAAATTATTGTAACAATAATATAAATAATATAATATAAATACAATAGTTTAATAAAAACCATTTGGAAATAATTTTATTATGAATAAATAGCTATTAAAAATGTACATACAAAAAGTAATGATACCCCAACAAAAGACCAAAACATATATGTAAAATGATAGCCAAGTTCAATTATGTAATATATGCTTTGATTGTTGACTTCAACGACAAAAGAAGTGAGATCTAAATGGATGCCAAGTTCAATGGTCAGTCCTGAAATGTATTTATAACAACATGAAATATAATTTCTTCTTATCACTTAGGATAATGTTTTGAAGCCTAAGGTCTGACTTGGCTAGTTTCTATATACAAATTATGTTATAGCCTTCGCAAGTTCTAAAAAGTTGGGAGTTCTTTTTTATTCTTCTAAAAATTTGGCTTGCTATTATAGAAACTAGCTATCGAAAATAGTGCTCTTCCATGACTGTTTTAGTAGGTACTTGATGATAATTCGTAAAATATAGAAACTGGCCCAGCCAAGTCAGACCTTAGGCTTCAAAACATTATCCTAAGTGATAAGAAGAAATTATATTTCATGTTGTTATAAATACATTTCAGGACTGACCATTGAACTTGGCATCCATTTTGATCTCACTTCTTTTGTCGTTGAAGTCAACAATCAAAGCATATATTACATAATTGAACTTGGCTATCATTTTACATATATGTTTTGTTGGGTATATTATATTGTGTACAACTTTTATTAATAATTATTTTTATTTTTCGGGGGGGGGGGGGGGAGGGGGGGGTTGAACACCCAATCCCCCACCCTAGGCACGCCCCTGATATTATTATGATTTTTTGGTTACAGCTAGTATGATTAGTATGAACTATTTAGGAGAATCTTTGTTTTAAATTTTCAGGCTTTTTTACCCAAAAAATAAAATTTCATTGTCATTTATAAAAGAAAAGCTAAAAGAAATTAAATTTTAAAATGGCCGCAAAACCACTCAAAACGAGTCAAAATATTTTGAAAATGTTATCAAATATGGAAAATAATAAAATAAACATATGGTGTAAATTTCAAGTATATCGACAGTTATTTGATTTTGAATTACAACATAATAAGAAAATCGCTATCTAAGTAGGTACCTACATGAGAAAACGAGTGAATATCCAATGTCGTAAAAATAACAACTTCAAAAGCTCATAAAAATTTAATTTAACTTTCTGGTAAACTTTTTAGATTCTGAGTGGAACGATTATGATATGTGTTTTTTTTATTATTATTTTTTTATTTATTTTTTATGAATTTATTTTTTTGTGTCTATATACACGGTAAGTAGTCGAAATAATGCACCGATTTCCAAGTTCAGTATCTTGTTCGATGGGAAATTGAATATTGTTGGTGCATTGGGGAAGTAAAAATTTTAAATTTCTAATAGTTTTCTAAAGCACCCGGAAAAACAACATAAAAATTAAGAAAACGAGAATTTTTACGCAAAATCGATTTTTTGTGTACCTACCTCAATAACAAATGAACCTATAAGATAAAATTTTCACTGGTCGTTTATATTTGCATTTTCTATACACGATAAAATGTTCAAAATATTGTGATTTGTTTTGAACTGTTTAGGAACATTTTCTGTTTTCAATTTTATTAGTATTTTTTTCTATGAATATCAATAAAACTTAATTTGTTGCGTAAAAAAGCTTGAAAATGCAATATAAGGCTCCTACTGTAAATATTGTTACAATGATATTTGAAAAATATTAAAAACCCTTAGAAACAGTTTTATTTATAAGCATTAAAAGTTCAAATCTCGACAAAATAAGGAAAAATCGCAAAAATTAGCAAATTATTTTGAGTTGAGAATTCATAAATTTTTTTTTTTTTAAATCCAAAATTTGAAAATGTAATACAAGTTTCCTCATAAGTTTGTTTACCTTTATCAAAAAAAAAAAAATTTCAACAAGCAAATCAAATTAAATTTTTATGAGGGTTTGAAATTCATATTTTTACAATATTGGATATTCACAGGATTTCTTATGCAGCGATTTTGTTATGCTGTTGTTGTTCAAAAACGAATAACTGTAGATACATGAAAATTATACTGAATGTCCATATTTTCATTTTCTATATACCATACAATTTTGAAAATATTTTGACACTTTTTTGGGCTGTTGGTGGATAATTTTAAATTTAAATTTTAGATTCTGAGTGAAACGATGAATGTATTGATTTTACAATGATGTGTGTTTTTTTATTTTTGTGTCTGTGTACACGATAAGTAGTCGAAATAATGCTTCGATTTTCGACTTCAGTATCTTGTTCGATTGGAGAGTGAATATCGTTGGTGCATTGGGGAGG